TCGATATTTCGGCAGCAGCTGAGTCAGAGAGGACTGAGGGCCGAGCTTGTGGTTGTCAGAAGTGTAGATAGAAATGTTCAGTCCTTGTGTGTAATGGCTGAACGAGTGTCCTCGGTGTGCTGTCACAAGACGCACTCGCAACACATTTCAGCAGATTCCCTTCTGTCGTTCTCCTTCTTTTAATCAGAACTAGTCAATCTTGTTTAAGGCAGACTTTGCACTTATGTTTACTAGGTTCATACATGTTGAATAATGTTGGGAAGGGGTAATAAGGAGAGACTGAGGTAATTCTTCCTCCTTCCTGCAGCAGACTTATCACTGAGGGAATGCTTCCTCCTTCCTGCAGCAGACTGATCACTGAGGGAATGCTTCCTCCTTCCTGCAGCAGACTGATCACTGAGGGAATGCTTCCTCCTTCCTGCAGCAGACTGATCACTGAGGGAATGCTTCCTATTGCCTGCAGCAGACTGATCACTGAGGGAATGCTTCCTCCTTCCTGCAGCAGTCTGATCACTGGGGGAGCGGAGACTGAGGAAATGCTTTGTCCTGCCTGAAGCAGACTGATCACTGGGGGGAGGGGAGACTGAGGAAATGCTTCCTCCTGCCTGCAGCAGTCTGATCACTGGGGGAGCGGAGACTGAGGAAATGCTTCGTCCTGCCTGAAGCAGACTGATCACTGGGGGAGGGGAGACTGAGGAAATGCTTCCTCCTGCCTGAAGCAGACTGATCACTGGGGGAGGGGAGACTGAGGAAATGCTTCGTCCTGCCTGAAGCAGACTGATCACTGGGGGAGGGGAGACTGAGGAAATGCTTCCTCCTGCCCGCAGCAGTCTGATCACTGGGGGGACTGAGGAAATGCTTCCTTCTGCCTGCAGCAGACTGATGACATCATCTCAGGCTAGCCAAAGTCACCTGAGTGCAGCTGGAAGATGGCTTAATAGTAATAAACTTGGAATCTTTTGTGAAAAATGATCACCATAATTACCCCCAACAAACAGATTTTGTACAGCGCGAGTCCCGCAGATTTTGCATGGCTGGTGATTCAGCGAATAATCCTGAAACAGAACTTCCCTCATCTGCCCCGATGTCGGGTCACCCGGCATGGAGGAGGGGACATCATTATCAGAGTTGGTACATTGACGGAGGGAATGAGATTGGGCAATCGTGGGTCTGGGGCTCCGTACTGAACGGCATTGCCCCATATACATTCCAGTCTGAGAGTATATGGGGCAATCTGACCTGAGAGAATCCCTTCAATGCGTCCCCACCGTGACCTCGAATGACCAACAATGATGACATTGGAAATGTTCCGCATTCGTGACGCTCTGCAATACAGGTTCGAATATGCCGTTGTGTGTCCGCGTCCTTTCAGTCATTCCAGTTACATATTGTCTGGGATCAGTGGCATCACAAGGGGGGTGCGGCCCCCACCCGGGTGCCACCATTGCAGGGGTGACACCAAAATGACTGACAGTCAATTTGGTGTCACCCCTTATGAAATGTCATTCACTTGGTCATGGACCGAGAGCGCGACAGTGTCAGGAGAGAGGAGGGGACCCGGCGGCATACCTCATCCCGCCGGGTGAACGTTCCCTCCTCTCCCTGCCGGCGTCCATCACCAAGATGGCCTCCGGCAGGCGTCAAAGAGACCACCGCGCATGCGCGATGACGTCACGGCAGGGTGTCACCCGGTCCCCGCCCAC